AGAAACTTGGAGGGCCAAGATGAAGGAGGTGGTACTGGAAAACCTCATTTACCAACACGTAAGAGAGAGGAGAGGACGAACCAGTAGTATTGCAGATATTGACGATATCACATATGAAAGACCCCTCATTGCCAGTGGCCACATGGTTCTGAGCTTCGAATACATAGTAGAGTTACAAGTGGATAGGGAAGCAAGAAGGGCAGGACAAATGAAGCCAAACTACAAGAGAAGGGACTACACAGGCATGAAGAGTTTCCTACACGAGGTTCAGTGGGACAGGGCGCTGGCAAGGAAGTCAGTATATGAGATGATGGAATATGTGACAACACTATGCAAGGAAGCTGAGGAGAGGTTTGTACCCAAGGGTAACAGAAATAACGAGAAGGCCAGGATGAGCCCTTGGTTCACTCAAAGGTTTAGAGGCCAAAACCAAGTGTGCTAGAGAATGGAAGAAGTATTGAAGGGAAAGAACCCAGGGAATAAGGAGAGCAGTCGTAGAGCCAGAAACGAATATGCACAGGTAAGAAGGGAGGCCTAACGACAATTCAAAAATGACAGCAGCAAAAGCCAAATCTGACCCGAAGCTGTTGTACAGCCACATCAGGAGGAAGACAGTCAAGAACCAGGTAATCAGGCTGAGGAAGGAAGGAGAGAAGATTACAAGAAACGACCGAGAAGTATGTGAGGAGCTCAACATGAGATTCAAAGAAGTGTTCATAGGGGAGACAGAGGGGACCCCAGAAATGATGGAGAGGTGGGGTCCACCATCAATTGTTACGCAATACATACAACTGAGGAAGAAGTGAAGAGGCTTCTAAGTGAGCTAGATACCTCAGAGGCGATGGGGCCGGATAACATCTCTCCGTGGGTCCTGAGAGAGGGAGCAGAGGCGCTATGCATGCCACTCACAACAACTTTCAAAACATCTATCGAAACAGGGCGATGCCTAAGGTATGGAAGACAAAACGTAGTCCCAATTTTTAAAAAAGTAGACAGATACGAAACATTAAACTACAGACCAGTGTCACTGACATGTATAGTATGCAAAGTCATGGAGAAGATTATTAGGAGAAGAGTGGTGGAGCACCTAGAAACGAATGAGATTATCAACGACAACCAGAACGGTTTCAGGGATGGGAAATCCTGTGTCACAAACCTACTGGAGTTCTATGACAGGGTGACAGCAGTAAGACGAGAGAGGTAGGTAGGTAGGTAGATTGTGTTTTCTTGGACTGTAAGAAATCTTTCTGATTATAATAATAATTGGACTGTAAGAAGGTTTTTGACACAGTTCCACACAAGAGATTAGTGCATAAGCAGGTATATCAGGGAAGGCACTGCAATATATCAGGGAATACCTGTCGGGAAGGCATCAGAGAGTCATGGTACGAGACGAAGTGTCAAAGTGGGCTCCTGTGACGAGCGGGGTTCCACAGGGGTCAGCCGTAGGACCGGTTCTGTGTCTGGTATATGTGAACGACATGACGGAAGGAATAGACTCAGAAGTGTCCCCTGTTTGCAGATGATGTGAAGTTGATGAGAAAAATTCAGTCGAAAGAGGACCAGGCAGAACTATAAAGGATCTGGACAGGCTGCAGGCTTGGTCCAGAAACTGGCTCCTGGAGTTCAACTCCACCAAGTGCAAAGTCATGAAGATTGGGGAAGGGCAAAGAAGACCGCAGACAGAGTACAGTCTAGGGGGGGGCTAGAGACTACAAACTTCACCCAAGGAAAAGGATTTTGGAGTGAGTATAACACCGGGCATATCCCCTGAGGCACACATCAGCCAAATAACTGCTGCAGCATGTGGGCGCCTAGCAAACCTAAGAATAGCATTCCGATATCAAGGAATCATGCAGGACCCTGTACACTGTGTATGTCAGGTCTATATTGGAGTATGCAGCACCAGTTTTTAACCCACACCTAGCCAAGCACGTAAGGAAATTAGAGATAGTGCAAAGGTTAGCAACAAGTCTAGTCCCGGAGCTAAGGGGCATGCACGAGGAGACGTTAAGGGAAATCGACATGACGACACTGAAGGACAGGAGAGAGAGGGGGATACGATAACGACATATAAAATAGTGAGAGGAATTGACAAGGTGGACAGACAGGATGTTCCAGAGATGGGACACAGCAACAAGGGGTCACAATTGGAAGTCGAAGACTCGGAATGAATCACAGGGATGTTAGGAAGTATTTCTTCAGTCACGGAGTTGCCAGAAAGTGGAATAGTCTGGGAAGTGATGTAGTGGAAGCAGTATCCATACATAGCTTTAAGAAGAGGTATGATGCTCATGGGCAGGAAGAGGCGGGGCCAGGAGCTGTGAATCGACCCCCTGCAACCACAACTAGGGGAGTACAGCCGGACCCCATACATGTATGGGCCTCTAGCCGAAGATAGACGGTCACTCCCATATCCCAGAGTACCGGGCTTGTGCAGTTATTTCGTCAAATCCTGCCACATGCAGTGAACTTCGAGAGAATTTTGGAATGCTTAACAATTCTCAAATGGGTGAAATTACCTACAAACATTATCTCTTAAGACTCCGTCCACAACACTCATTATTACTACTATTACTTGCTCATTCAGTAACTTTTTGGCTCATTTTTTGAACTTGTTTTATACTTAGATACTCTTTTGACTACCACTCACACGAAAGTTGGGTGCATATTAAACCTATATCAAATCTTACCACATACCAGAGACTGGCTGCAAATTCAAACTGGTATTTTTTTTTATCAAAGTAGAAGGCGGTTTGCAAATGCAGATGTTTTATAATACAGCAATAAATCAATCGGTGTGACATTTAAAAGAAATATATCAGATATTGGTTTACATTATTAACTTTGTGAATATTTCTTCTTGGATTACTACATGGACTTAACGAAGACTCAAGTTTATCCTGGTGTTCATTGTTCACACTGAAAACATGCTACAATCTATTTCGTCATCATATACCAAAAGAAAAAAAATGATGGCACTTTACTTGGTATACACCAAAAGGTTTATATCTTGTGTATAGACATTAAAATTTTCTTAATATTATTATACAGGTTAATTGTGGCCTTAATGACCCACGTACTGTCATTAGGTTTTAAACTTAAACTCAAGTCGATTGGAATCCCTATAGGATACATTTCAAATACTATATTTTCAGTAATTTTGGTAAGAAATTTTTATATATTTAGAGATTGTGAAAACATTGATGTGAGAGTTACTTCCATGAGTTGATATAACTAGTCCTAGTAAGTCATTTACATATTAAAATTTAGTTTTCACCATTACTGTTTAGAACATTTTAGAAAAAGACCCGGACCGGAAGAGTACCGGCGAATAAAAAAAAAAGTACATGCCACGTCATATTTCAGTCATTGACAAATAACGTTGTACGTGCTACGTCATATTTCAGTCATTGGCAGACAGCGTATACCTAACAACTAATAAATAACCGACAAACAAGGACTACAATATTTATAGCCAGTTAGATGTAAAGACAAGTTAACATGGTGGGTATCAATATATTAATGGTATACTCTACCGGCAAGCAGATGAGTAGGATACGTGCAACAGTGTGGTATCTTTATTGACGAGACGTTTCACCTGCTCAGCAGGCTTCTCAGTCAGAATATATAAGACATTCACACCAAGTTAGCCTTGGTGTGAATGAACACCTCAAACTTAGCCCTCTAGGCTGAGGGACTGATCTCATTATATCTACACCTCCACGACTTCTCCAGTCTCCTGTGTATTTCGACTGAAGAAGTCTGCTGAGCAGGCGAAACGTTTCATTAATGAAGATGTCATAGTGTTGTACAAGTGTTTTATTCATCTACTGTTAGTATGGTGAGGGGGGGGGGAGAGAGGATGAACAAGCATCGCAACATTGTCACATTACATGTCAGAAGTCAGTATACAGAACAGTACAATATTTTAAGTAAATAACTACCAACCTTGCACACTACGAATCAAGCGCAAAAGGACAAACACTGAAGTGTATTAATTACAAGACAGAGATAGGTACATGAGCAACAGGCGCACGTTTCACATATCACAAGTTTGAACGTTGCACGAGGCTAGAACAGCTCGCTCATATATCGAGAAACATTGTAACAAGCCTGAGTTATTGTAACGTTACACGTCCTGTGTCGTCCATCACTACATGATGGTACTGCTGAATTTACATGTAACTATAAATACAGAAGTCAGGGTGAACCTGTGCTGCTCAGTTACAGATATCACGAAATAAGTCAAAATGCTTTAATTGTATTAATTTAGCCTCTATTGAAGTAACTGCTTTGTGCCTGTTGGCATGGCAATATCATGTGTCTGAACCCGAATCTACTAGCTTTGAATTTAACCTTAACGTTTTTCTTTAAAACACAATTAGTTATTAGTGTAATATTAGTATGTTGGTATTTTTTTTTTGTATAGAATAGCATATAAAATTTTATTTTTTACTTGTTTTGAACATGTAACTTTTGGTGGTATCTTCGTGGTAAAATTTTACCATGAAAACAGTAGCTTTAATGTCCTGTTTCGTGTTGCAATATACTGTGCTAAGGTTTATGATTACTTCTCAGCGGAAGTTGAGCGCTAGTTTACATTTTACAATACAACAACTTACGTATTCTACGGGAAAAGTAAGTTTTTCTCTTGGACATTATTTTGGGAAATATTAGCGAAAATGGCACTTTTTATTTTTGTTGCACAGCATCTCTGAACCAGTCAACGCTTATTGTTGTCATGTCATGCTCCTGCCAGAAGATATATGCACTAGTGCAGATGGAGTGAAGTTACGTTCGATTGTTTTAGGCTGGGTTAGGGGGTTTTGTTAAGTTAGTTTACATTTTATACAACCAAATAATGTCTAGACTATGAAACAAACGTAATATTGTACAATTCAGACTACTATATAATTAATGCCCGATATCCGCTGAGAAGCAGTCTCATACCATATATTGCTCCAAAATTTTCAGTGTAATGTATTAGATTATGAACGCTTGCACTTACTTGTTTGGATCTGGATTTAGTGGTATTTCACTGTTATGTAATTTGTTCTCTTGTCTCAGATGGTAGAATGTGGGTAGCGGGAGGCGGCCCAGCTGACATTGTTACCGCTGCTTCTACTGCTACTGCTTCACATACTCCTTTACTCGTCCCTCCTACTCCTCCTCCTCGCAGATTTCTCGGCGAAAATAACAAAAGTAGCAAGACGCCATCAGAAACTTTAAGATCCATCGTCATACTTGGTATGGAGACGATTCAAGATGCCTCACCTCGAACACTTGCTCAGCCCCCTTCCTCTTCCTCACCACTACCAGTGTCTAAGCCTGACACGTCCTCTCCGCCTCTTGACCTTCCTCCATCTCCTGAATTTTATCCATCCTCATCTCCTCCACCTCCGCCACCACCTCCTTCTTACCTTTTCCCTGAATTGTCTTCGGAGGACCTTCCACCTCCACCTCCTGCCCATATGCTGGTGGATGTATCAACTCCGCCGCCTCCATTGTACATCTGTTGTTACGATCCACCCTCTCCTGAAATAAAGTCTGTGTATGATCCACAGCTTCCACCTGGATTTTCTTCGAAGTCTCAACAGTTAACATTTTCCCCTCTCCCTCCTCCTGTTCCCCCTCCTCCACGACCTTCGCCTCCCCCTCCCCCCACGCCACCAGTCCGTCAGGCATCAAGCGAAAATCTGGCGGTGCATCTACAGCCTTCAGGTGATAAGTTTGATGATTTAGACGTGAGTGAGTTTACAACATGGAAAGGATCTGAAAGTAATAGATCATCTGATGGTGAATATCACAAACACATTGAAAACCGTACACCTGATGACCGGTCACCCTCCAGTATAATGTCTTCATCAACACTCACGGCAACTTTTCTTCAGACACCAGAATCTGGGATGTCTCCTCTGCCACCACACGCTCTCAGGGTCTCTCCTGTTCCCACTGATGACATCACGCCATCATCGCAGACTACTGAGATCGATGATTTCACCATGACCCCTACATTCAGTGATGTCACCTCTACACCTAACTTTTACGACAACAGTAAGACCTCAGCTCTTGACATGGACACTCCTGAGGCCATGCCACAACTCTCAGAAACCCCAGGAACTCCTGTTACTTCTCCGGCATTCTTACTCTCTCTTGTACCTACTAAAATTCAGCCAAATACACTGCTACTACCTCCTCGTCTTTCATCTCCAACGACTTCCGAAATATCACCACATTCTTTAAGGAGCGAGTGCAGCTTACAGAGATATGATAGTGAATCAGATAAAACCAACAATGCACTTAGTGAAAGATCAGATTTTGAGACACTGGTTGGCCCGAACACAGCTACCACCACCACTGCCGGACAAGCCCAAATTTTGTCCCCCGTGTCCACTGAACTTCCATCTCTCTTTTCTCTTCCAACTGACAGTGATACAATCTCTGCTGATTTTGACTACTCCTTCGCTGCTGATACTTTGTCTCCGTCCGGCGAGTTTGACTCTTTTACACCTGAGGTGGAGACGTTCAGCAGTGACAAACTTGTGACAGCGACAACAGCAGACGTGCCCCACACTTCTCCCTCTCCGGGGTTCTCCGACACAGCTTATGCCACGGCTGACAGCGCCCTAGGCTCAGCTACAATGTCTCCATCATTTACTGAATCTTGCACTATTACTCCATTGCCCGCTGACTATTTCACACCCATCTCTACAAACCCCTCTACAACACCCATTCCATCGCCCATTGCTACTGAAGCTCTTAGCCCAATACCATCTTCACCTCTACCTTACTTTGATGCATACCCTCCTATAGAACACATGCCGCCATCACCATCGCCGACTCTGTGTTCTCCATCCTCCAACAAGGAAACCACCAACATATCGGTAACGTCATCGCAAGGTCTCCTTCACTGTGAAACCAGCAATGAAGAGAGGTTAGTCAGATATCAGACTTCAGAAACTATTGAAAGCGAGACCTTATTACAGAGCTCACAGGTAATGTTACTCTCGCCTTTAGCTACATCTACCATCACCACCCCACAACACACAGTATTTCCCACAGATACTCAGAACCCTGATCTGGAGGTACCAGATTTAAACGCTGATGAACAACTTGCTGAGGATAAATCAGATAAGAATGATGAACATGATTTGAAGGGTATACAGGAGTCGGAGGAAAAGCAAAACTCCGAACTTGATTATACAGATCAAATGACAATTAAACAAAGTGAAAATGAAATAACAGTGCTGCAAACAAAGATAAGCTTGCAAAAAGACTCAGATTATGAACTGCTGCACATGGAAAATGAACCAAATATAGGGAACGTAAGCCAAAAGTTAAAGAACGCTTCATTTGAAGATAACGATAGTTGCGAACAAAATGTGCAGAATCAACAAATAAACAGAACATGTGAGCATCGGTTAAGCAGTGTTCATTTGGAAATAAATGACATGATAAATGGAAACATGAGAAAAAAAACAGACAGCGATGCAATGAACATACAAGACTCTGAGGTAACGAAAGAAAACGCAGATTTCCATGTCAAGACTGAAGAAGTTCCATCTAAACAAATGGACATCAACCAAGAGAAAATGTTCCAAGATGAATCCCAAGAAAGCACTCAGGAAATTTATGAAGTAATGGAAGATGTTAATGGAAATTTAAGTTACGTATTGGAAGATAAACTAAAAGCTACTGTAAGTAGCTGCGAGACAAAGGAATCGAATTTAGCTCAAGAAACAAAGGATGATAAAAAATCTACTGAAGGTATTCAGGAAACAGAGAAAAAGAAATCTCTAAACCACCAGAAACACTGAACGATGAACCAGATAATAAGGACTCTAAAGAATGTATATGTGAAAACAAATGTAATGAAGTACAAAACGAATATTTATCTTCGGCAAAAGTAAAAATTCCCAAGGCAAATTCACTTCCTGTTTTATTAAGTGCTTCACTTACTCCACCAAGGTCTCCAGCTTCGGGATGGACAAGATCTTCTTTACCTTCCTCTCCAACTCCAAGAAGCGGTGCTTCCAGTCAGTCTTGTGTATTTTCTCGTGCCATTTATCCACTAAAGTCGAGAATCTATGTCAGTTCCTTCATCACCTGTTCCGTACATGAGTGCTAGTGTAGGTGGGAGCATGTACCCGAGGAAAGACTGTCCATCTTATACACCTCGTCGTTTAGTAAGCTCTAGTGTACCTGCTTCTAATAAAATACATAAGACCAGCTCACTTTCAGCTTCACCTGAGGAACCCCTGCAGCTCCTGAATGCCGTTGTTGCAGATTTAGAAAACATTACTGCAGGCCTTCCAGCTTCATGTCCGAAGCAGATGAGACCTGCTAATGTGAATTGCGGTAAACTTATATATGAGGATAGTTGCGCTCATACTGCAGAAAAATCTCTACAGGTAAATACAGTTTGCTTAGATTCAGAAACCAGAGAAGCGTCTGTTATTGAAAATTTGATACAGGAAGATACAGAATATTTGTATACAGAATCTGATACGATATCAAGGTCGGAATCTTGTGCCCTTCAACATCCTACCAGATCATTAGACAGAGAAGCAGAGGTTGATGCTACATACGACAGTAATTTGGCAACTAAAATTCCCATTATTAGCTCTCACGAATTATGTGAGGGAAAACACACCCGGAGGGATGATACCAAACACAAGCAAACGTGTGTATCCTCAGTAACTATATGTTTGGTGGCTTCCCCACCTGAGAACTCGCTTGTTACACGATCACCTCAGCCTCCACTTACATCCAAATCCTTGGATGATGCTCATTCTGATGTAATATCTGAGTTACATTCAGATATGTTAACACAATCCCCTGTCACTGCAGATTCGTATTGTAATAGAATACCTTGTGGTAGTACACATAACGCCTCTGATATTAATTTGTCTAGTGCATGTAGTCGTGTCAATGTTTCACCTGTCTCATCAGCTCACTGTAAAGATAACATAGTGGCTTCTACTAATACTGATACCAAAGGCGAAATTCATACAGAATATATGTCACTAAGTAGTGATAAGTTGCCAGAGGTTGGAACCATGCAGAAAGATGAAGTTAATGTACCTTCATTTACTGATCATAAACATTTTGTTGAAACCAGTACAGGAGAAAATGTTAAAGTTTTAGATCTTGAGACTCACGTTCATGAAGCTTATTCTCCCACTCAATCATCTTTGGTAAGAACTTGTTTTGAATATACTCCTGAAAGTCATCTTTGTAGTGAAAATAGTAATTTAGAAATCCATTCAGTCATCGATGATACCAAATCTCAAATAAGCAATGATTGCCATGCCTCACAGTCTTCTTCCCCATTTGGCAGCATCGTGGAAGATGTTGCTTCACCTTGGCCAGTCACCCGCGCCAGATCTCCCCCTCCACCACCACCTCGTTCTGGTATCAACACACCCAGACCAGCTACGGCAGCTCCTTTACCTCCTCCAAGGCAATACATCCTTGTCCCTATTAACCAAACTCATGGAACACCCAGAAGATTTAGCCCTCCACCTGCTCCACCTCGATCCACATCCATTCGTAAATCTCCCCCACCACCACCCCCACCACGATCTGTTGTTCACACTCCAGCGGGAAAGAATGAGTGGCTTGATTTTCCTCCACTTCCTCCCCCTCCAACTTCATGCATCAACACCCCAATTACTCCTCCACTAAAGCTGACTCCTGTGCCAGAAGAGTCTTCGTCTCCAACTACACCTCTTCCTTCAACACGACCATCACCTAGGAACTCTCAGGCAGCATTCTCTACCATTAAGAAATCTCTCTCTAAAATAAACTCTTCACTTGAAGCACCAGATCCTCCTAGTTTGATTGCTTTGACACTCCTGGCACAAGTGGACGAGAAAGGACAAACGGGCTCTTTAACGTGCAACACTCGCTCACAGTCTGTTTCATCTGTAACAGGAAGCACATCTTTTAAACTAAATGTTACATATAAAGATGATCCTCCAGCTGTTCCACCACCTCCGGTAGAGGATTATGAAGAACCATCACCACCTCCACCTCCTCCTCCTCCTCCTCCTCTGGAAGAATCTGAGGTTGAACCTGTGCTTCCACTTCCTCTTCCACCTGATGATTTACCACCATCGCCATCTAGATTACAGTCTGCATCTTCGCAACTTCCTCCTCCTCCTCCTCCTCCAAATATTATTTTCTCTAATCAAGAAGATTCAATAAGACGTTCTGTACCATTTCCTGCTCAAGATGCTTTATCCTCTAATTCTTGCAGTATTCCTCCTTCAGAGTCTGAAACTACGCCTTCAATGTTTATGCCAACGTCAACACCACAGCCCGCAGCAAAAGTGCCAGCAGCCCATTCACAATTCATGCCTGACCTTAGCTCTTCGGCAACTTCTTCATCAGCACTTTCTCCACATTCACCCACATCTCTCAATAAAAATATTTCAGCATCTCCAGTACCATCCACATCTCTCACTTCGTCTGCCCCCTTGCCTCCAAGACCACCTTCTCCTAAACCTGGAGCATCTGGGGTAACGAAATCACCTCTAATAACAACTTCGCCTTATGGCAAAATAGTCATTATTCGTTCTGATCTGCCATTGCCACCA